AAAAAAAAAAGAACTGATTTACAAGGCAGGATAAATTTCAGGAGAAAAATTGCTTCTGTTCTAATTTCTCTATCAGTGAAAGCGAAAAATATCTTCTACCATGTATATCAGTCGGCGCTACGCAAGTTTCCTCTTGCAACATCAGGAGGAAATAATTCAGTCACGAGTGGCTGATCGTTGTTTCGGACTCGTAAAAACTTTGAGTGTCATGTCGATGTGTGTTATCTCTGTGCTATGCGTTTCAGATGTTACGAGGACACGCGTGCTGAAAGATCTGGCTAGACAGAAACTCGTCGATTCGAGTTTAGTGTAGTTCGCCCGCACACGCAGCCACAGACTTTCACAGGCCTTCCTTCGAATCGTTTACGTTCGTGAACAAACTATTTCATCCGAAAGCGAGCAAAATAACGATAACTTTTAAAAACGAGCCAGATCGTAAAAGCAAGAGTGAGCTCCCAGGTTTCGGCTTTGGTTATAAGTTCGTATTATATTAGCCGGCTTCAAACGACTCGCCGTCCAATGGGGACGATCGTAAACCTAGGGTTAACATTCGGTCGGGTTGTCAAGTGAAAGAGTGGCTTGAATTTCGTTGGGATCACTGTGAACGACGTTATAAGTACATTTGTTCGATTATACCGGGCGTTCTGAGGCTTTTGTTCAAATTATATAGAGCCACCGGTCGGATCTACGAATCGAAGTTCATAACGCTATAACCATAAATTTCTCAATTTTCATCACACACAAGTACAAGCACGCTTGTAATACACTCGTATTTCGATAAAAGTGATTCTTGAAAAATTTGTCTTTTTTTTTCGATAAAAATGCGCTTTAGAATTCAGAAACGGGCAATAGTAATCGAAACTATAAAAAGATATCTATAAAGACTCACGAAAGTGTTTGCACAATATATTGGTGTAAAACTTTCTGTTAGCGGTGTGACCAGATTATAAGAATGATGATAAAAATTCCAAGGCTAGAGTTTGACATAAATTTAGAAGTATCTGTATCTACACAAAATACAATATATTGCAAATATAGTAAAAAATATAACAAACTCAATGATAATGATAAACTGTTGTACTTCTGAACGTTAGTTCTTTGGATATGAAATCTATAATCTTTCCTTCTTTTTAAACAATTTAAATATTGCCGTTGCCTTCTTATTTGTGAGAAAGGTACTCAAACACATTTGTATAAAAATCAGTTTGTTTTACGAATTCTCCAATTTAAAAGCTGTAACTGTGATTCTCCAATTTACAGCTGAAGATGGGATTAGTCGACCCATAAGAATAGGTATATTTTTCCTTCAGCTGATCCGTTTTACGTCTCTCGTCGTTATGACGTCGGCCATGAAGTCGTAAGACGCCTAACCTAATAAGTACCTAACAAACGTTCGATTCGTGGAACCAGAGTACAGTGCTCGAATTGTGTCTGGGAAGAATAATGATCTTTCATTAACTGAACTTCTTCAAATAACATTTTATACGGTAATTGCAATCGATATAATGGCCTGTGTACGCATACACAGCTAAATATAATAGTCTCCTGACGACGACCACTGAATAGTGACCATTGTTTCAAAGTCCCATCACAAAAGAGGTCTCCTTATCTGGTCGTTATAAAATTCTTTTTACCATAATTTCGTTTTTAACGCTCGTTTAAGATTGTTGAAAACGCAACTCACACGTTGCGGCCACGAAAGGGAAGAACTCGTTTGGAGTGCTTCGAATCACTCTATTAGACTAACAATCCGAACGCGAAACGATGAAATGAAGTATATAACCATGCCATACAAATATGTGAAAGTAACATTATGCGTTTGTTAATATTCCTTGGAATGAATAATTCAAATTTCTTCAGCGATCTACTGCAATATATCTTCATTATTTCTTCGCAATGTTTTCTACGAAACGATTGGATTAAAATAAAAACTATCACGGGCATAAGGTGCAAATAGAATTCATGATTCCTTTCATACATATATTTAATTCCCCCTTTATCCTGAACGTTTGCTCGTCAGGCGTGAATTACGAAAGTCAAATTAAACAACAGTCACGCAACTAACCAGAACGTGAGGATACAATTATAAGCCGTAACATAAGCGATATAGATGTCCGGAAATATGCAGAAACAATCTGATTTGTAATAACATTGAAATAACGTGCGTCGAAAACTTATCAACGAGATGGTACATATTCTTCAAGAAAAAGATTATAGCAAGTTTTAATAAAATAATGAAACTTGCAATCCGTCGTTGTTACTGTATACTCGCGTACGTGATATGATACGTGAGATCACAAAATAAGATTCGTGATAGAAGCGTTATCAATTTAATCATCGATCTCGAGACGAACTGAGAATACTGATGCTGTTCTACATACAGAGGGTGAGTTTCATAGGTGAGGCAAAGGGGTGACTAAAGTCGAAGCACGCAACAGGTAGGTAATTGCCCGCAACCGGTTTTCAACATGTGCATTACATGCATGTTCATCAACAGGCAAGTAGTACATCGGAGTAAATAGAGACGAGCATGCACATTAACATTGTCAATCATACTGTAGCTCCTAACAGCGTATATCGTACACTGGATGGCCTCAAATTTTCAGAAATAATTTATTCTTTTCGCGACACGAAGAATTCCGACGTACAAACGAATAATCCGATCAATAATCATTAACTGTTTAACACCGAATACATTTAACATGAAATACCAATCTTCTTTCGTATGACAACTGAATTCATTGCATCTAATGCACGCTCGAAATACAAAATAAAAATTGAACGATAATTATTATCACTCACTGGTTAATGGCTGCGGCAAGTGGCCGATATGCGGCTGCAACGAGGGCAATTTTCTGGAAGGAGGAATACTGATGATACCGCCGAAGCCTGTGTGTATGCCGTTGCTGCCATGGCTGCTGGCTGGTGAATCGCCACTGCTGCTATCGTAGCTACCCTCGATACTCCTGGCTGGAGGAATAGACGAAACTCGCTCGTTCTCTACACCGAATGGCAGTGGATCCACCTATTACGAAAAGTTCAATTACGATCAGGAGATTGGCAAGATAAAGGCGGTTCTATTTGAAATCACGACAGCTGCAAGCTGCACAGGAAACATAACAGCAATTTACCTTCCATTACAAGTATCGTAACCCGGTGTTACGTGCGCGATGAAACACGAAATAATCATAGCTTCTCCCGATTTTATCTGTGCAGTTGCAATATCATCGATTACGAATCAACGTCCCGAACATGATATATGTATATGATCCGTAATCAGATGATCCGTCGATAAAGAATGAAATAAGAATGTGATGTGATCGTCACATTCCACCAGTCTTGAATTTTATTATGCACGGAGTAAAATGGTGATAACAAAAATTCGCTTGCGAAATTTAGAAACATTTTGGAATTAACGTGTGAAATATATAGTAATGGAATGCAGATTTCATCGTCTTTATTCAATTATTAGAAAACATTGCGCGAAAATACTCAGTATATGTTAATAATTTCATATGATTACACTTCCTTATTCCAGGAATTATATATATATATATACTACAATTAATTAAATCTTATTAACAGAATTAATTTTATCATAGTTGTAATTGGATTTATTTCGAATTTCTTTATCACATTTCGTCGACGCATTCACGTGTACCGAGTAATCTAAAGTTTTACACAATTCGAATTGCATGTATTATATTGTAGAAAGCAGAGGCAAAATTGAAATCTATCATATTTTTAAACGACATTGTAAATATAAAATCCAATATGTATAATACTAATATTTAAATTAAAAAATATATATCTACCGTTTCATTCGATCTGCAAACTTTCGTCTTCTTCATTTTCTACAATTTAATAACACACGAAACATTGAAGTATATGAGTATCAATACGGTTCTGCGTAATGAAAGATCTAAAATTCTAATAAATGGACTTCAGGAATTTTGAAATCCCGATCGAGGCCATTAAATACATTCAACTCCAAAGTGAAGAAAATTCATGAATACTGAAATAATTTTACGTGTGAAACTTTTGTCTGATAATAAATTCGCAAATATCAATATATATTTATAGAATTCATAAAAAAAGATATCTTACGTAAAATTCAAAAGCAGAATTGCGGATATTTCATTTCACAGTGTGTGAATGATATTAATGTAGACATTTCGTGCAAATTGTAAGAACGAAATATAGGTTTTTCATTGGGTTTAACACATGTATATTTACAACACACGCAATAGTAGAAACGGAGCTACATTTCTATTAATAGAAGAATATAAAAGATCTGAAAAATAATATAAAACATAAAAAATAAAGAAGGTATTTCATAAAATAATATTAACTCTCCAGCGCACGGGTGATTAACAATTGATAACAACTGACGAGAGCAACGTGCTCGTGAATTCCTTTGATTCACCCAAGCACTGGATGATTAATTTAAAAAACGAGCAACCTATATTTCACACGAGTGTTACAATAAAAAAATGTTTCCACTCACATGTTCGCTACTCGTCAAAAGAGCAAGAGAAGAAGAACTAACCTCGTCTGCCACTCTGACTTTGACTTCGTCCTGCGCCAGTTGTCGTCTCAGCTTTGCCTGCATCGCGGTCACCCGTTGCTTATCGGCCGTGACCTTACACCTGTCGCACTCGCAGAATCGGTACTTGCAGTACCTTTTGTGTGATTTTACAGTGATCTTCAGCCGATGATTGCGACATCGTTGGCAATTGCGCGGTGCACATCGCTTCGGCGTGTCGTTCGTGGACGAGGATGCATCCGTTTGCATCCGTTTGGAGCTCGCCTCGTTCCCCCCGTTCTCCATGCTGTCTTGCGAATGATCCTGCTGCTCGAACGTGTTCGTATCAATTGACCGTTGGACAGCCGGATTCGCGGTTTTGTTCTGCTCGTTCTCTTCACGGTACATAGGTAAGCTTCGATTCGTAACCTTTTCGTCACAAAGAATAATCTTCAAAGAGCCATTTTAATGTATGACTCTGCGCTATAGGATATCCGATTTTCACTTCACTGACTATCCAGTGTGTCTTGTGCTTCGTCGAAATGATGTGTCGTTGCTTGGAGGCGCGGAGGACCGATCCTCGGCACCGTTTTCTCCCATCCAACGCGAGTTTCACGTTTCTGCAACACGAAAACGAAGAATGTCTATGTAAATAAGTGAGATGGCTTCGTGAAACATTAAAGCTTCGGGTAAATGGCAATTATCTGGAACAATATAGACAGTGAAACATCAAATTAATATTTTTAAGATAACCAGAGAGATAGATCAAGCATTTATGAACCATTTGGCGAAAAAGAAAAAAAATTGAGAAATTTCGTATATTTTAAACTGCGTATAAAACCAAAAGTCGACTCGATGTCGAGCGAATCCTCAGAATTATCCCAAATATTGAAAAATTAAATTTAATAATATTAATTGACTAAAAGGAGTTGCAAATGAAGTGTTAGGTTAATGCAACTTTGGTTTTTCTACCCACCTTCAGGCTTTTAAGGGTTTCATATTTGTTTAAAACTAGAACTTTTGATTCAATCCAATAATAACAATTTCGTTCAATATTTATGCAGAAACGCATCATCGCCAGTCGCTAATCTATTAGCGGATTATGCTAAATCTGTTCAATTAATCAACAGGTCAAGGATCCAGATTCTGTCAAACACGATGGGATCATTGCTATCGAGAATTTTTTTTTTTTTTTTAACTGCATCGATGCGAGATAACTGGAAGATCGTTTAATTGGACATTTTACTTTCCACTGAAATATCTGGTAATGATAAAAACTCCGATAAACTATATACCTAAGCGAAACGTTCAACTCAAAATTTTACCACATTAAACGCATGGTATTTCTTTTACATTCGAACCTTAGCAATTTTATCTTTATTTAGTAATAGGCGTATGTACCAGATGAAAGAACATTCTGCAAACTTCCATTAAACGTCGTTCGGTTGAATATTAAAGATGCTTGAACATTATCCGAATCATTTACTTTTTTTTGTATTACTTAATACTCTTTTATATTACTTTAGTACTCTTGTCTGTAAGGTAGAGGCTTCTAACTATAATAATAAGCGTACTTCCGTGATTACGATTCAACTAACTTTAGAAGTTAGTAGTAACCAAGAAGAGCAGAGTATGGGTCTATATATAGGTATAAGTAACTAGTTGTATTTTTAATATATAGCTAAATGTGCAATTGAGTCGCCAGGGAATTTTTTATTAATAATAGAACGCTGGTTACTCGAATTAATCATGACATACGTTGTTCAGATGTAGTAAAAATTTCGTTATCAGAATATCCATTGTCTGTATTATCTGCTTTTTATTATCCATACCATGTGCGTACTATGTGTGTCTGCGGTCTATTTTTATTTCAAGCTATCGAAGCTAACTATTATAAATAAGATCCATTGAAAATGAACTGAAAACCTGGCACAAGAAAATTTGTCGTTCTGTTGTGTACTTATGTTATTCTACCCAACTATATTTATTATCTGTGCTGACTTCTACAAACAGTGAAATAATTTTTCTTCCATATGAGAGAATTATAATATTACAAAAATGGAAGACACTATACAGACACATATTTCATAAATATTGACATTGAATGAAAATAGCCTTTGAAAAATTCTCTTAGACTTTATATTTTCCTATAATCCTTGTTAGAAGTCATTCTCAAATTCATTAATTATTTATCGGTACTCCGATAATTAATCATTCAATAGTTTATAGAACAAAGTTATTTCGGAGCCATCCTAACGAACAATTCAAACAAAATCAGTATTAAAAAAAATTAGTACTTGAAACTAATCAATTTTGTAGCAAAATCACAATCAAAAAACTGCTGTATTTGTAACTTTACTCCAAAAAAAATTCTCCCAAAAAAATTACAAGTTTATAAAATAGACCAAAAGTGATCACTGTGATTTATCATGCAATCTGTTTTTTTCACCTTTGCACTGCTTTTGAAAATGGTGAATTCTGAGAAGCGATATCTTCGTCACACTATTCATTTAATAGAACAAGGTGGAAAAAATTCGACAGATGAGTGGCAAAATATACAGGGGAAGACCAAACGCAAAGCTTGCATAATAAGAATATGTTTCCAGAATTTATAAACGGTTAATGGAAACGGCAGACAGTGATTTATCAAAGGAATATAGTGTTAATGTTATACAGCCGAACAAAGTATTATTAAGTAGAGAGTTTGACAGAATCTTTGGCTGAAATCTGAGACCACTTGTATATTAAGTACAGGCCCTAAACTTTTATATGAGAACAGATAAACGGGTTCTTAAGTTGTATCCTCACCATACAGCATTGAGGATCTTTTCATTGATGTTTTATATCTCTTATTGTCGAACGTTCCCTCAGATTTCATTCGTATTTCTGTTATCAGTAACAAATGTTGTCCGTTTCCATCCGAGCCAGTAAAAATAAATTAACTACCTTAGTATCCGAGAGCCAATATATTTGCCTTCGTAATTTCTGCCAAAGATATCTTGAACCGATATTTCAACTTTTCATAACATCTTATTTTTTATGGTGAAACATTTGTGAAAAGTAATGTTTCGTTTCCTACAACAATACTCTGTAATTCTAGATTTCTAGACAGAAAAATTGTAAGATAGATAGTGAGATTAAGAAATATGTGACAACAAAAGAAACAAATGCCCGTCTAATCTGTAAGGTTTGTCATCCGACGCAGAACGCATAGATAAACTATTGGAAATCGAAATGTTTCTCAGATTATGTGTTGCTTCAGTGCTTCAATGTTTCTAGAAATTGGCATTTGCTGGAAACATTCTGTAACAAAGTTCCTCATTGTTGTTTCAGCGAAGATGGAGTTTCGGATCTTAATTCTGTTTTACAGATATGAATAATATACACGTAACATAGAAACAATAATGTAACACACATCATAGTTACTCGAGCGATACGTCATTTTGAATGAATCTTGAATGGAAATAAAATATAAAAGATACACTGGATTAAATCAATGATAGTTTGAAATATAAATATAAACTATATAGAAAGATATTTTATAGCTAACATTGGTTACTTTGTATAATTATAACAAAAGTGAGAAGGACTTTGGGCTTATTATCTATAAAATATGAAAATTACGATTAACAATAGAAGTTAAGATATTTAAGCGAATAAACTTTTCTTTTTTAATTCAAGTCTTATTTAATATAATGTAAGTAAATGTCTTTAACTATTTATCTTTAAATATAACAAAAAATTTATCTTACGTAGTCAAGTGTCAAGTTATATCAAAGTTTTGACTAGAACACTTACAGAGTACACGATCATTTTTAAAATGATTAAACGAGATAGTTATTTAATCTGATATTTACTTTGCACTTCACCAACCAATCTTTCAAGATGACTCAATATTCCGTATTTAATAATTTTAAAATTTATTGACTTCGTTGCATCATTCGTATATATTTTATAATTTCGTTTAAAACCAGTTCACATTAAAACGACTAACGTCTTTTTATTTTCTACTACTCGCTTTTTGAATTTATCTTTCTAGAACAAATATTTCATAGATAGAACAGATATTTCAAAGCAAGTCGCGAAATCATTAAGACAATAATTACATCGACTAAATGTAGATTGCGTTCATATTCCACAAGTTAGCTTTGAAGCTAAATTTCCATTTTTCTCGCGATTTCGTGAGTACAATTAACGTTTAATGCAATTGTTTCTTCTCGATAGCGAAATCAAACGATATTTTATCGCATATTGAACGAAGTAACAGAATGCATGCTAGTCGTACTTTCCTCGATATGGATCGATAACTACTGGTATACAAGCAAGTTAAAGGCATATTTGCATATTTAAGAGTGCAAACTTTCAATCCGGTTGCGCGAATATTTTGACTTTAGAAAATCATGTGTTACGTTAGTACGAAGTTTCTAGAATCTTTAGCACAAGTGTATTGAATTGATAAAGACATTGTATTGATTACTTTACTCGCATACATTCTACACTTGTCTGTAAAAAGTTGATCGTTTATTCCATTCTACATTATCGCTTTCATTGAAAAAAAAAAAAAAAAAAATTGACGCTAGTAAACTGATAAACTGAATTACAATTAAGATTAAACTTATATATAGATGTGCAATAAAATATTTCTGTTCAGTTCTAGATTTCATTTTAACTGCTCGTACTCTGGTTTTTCACGCGTTTATAGTCGCCATACTACACGATTTACATAATTTCTTGCCTATGGCAGGATATAAATTAAAATAATTCTTATCAAATAATAAATCCTAACTGGGATAACAAACAACGTGTCTATGTTATTAGTACGCGACTAAAATATATCATAGATTTTACATTATCGAAACACATGTGTTAATGCACGTTTAGCGAAAACGTGCTCTGTCTTCTCATCGGCTATGTTCGCTTCTTTTTGATTCCTTTCGCAACGTCAAAACGTATCGGCCAATTTCGAACGAAATACGAGTCCGACACTTTGTTCGTTCATTTTCTTCTTTTGTATCGACCAGTTTAATTCTTTCGTTCTTAATTCTTTCGTTTTTTCCCTCCTTCTTTTCTTTTCCCTTCGAATGGACCTTCATCGTGAAGATCGAACACTATCGGAAGATCGCATTCTCACTCACTCAGGCCCAACAAATAGAATGTTACGCCATGTTAGGCACCTCATTCTGCAGATTCTCGCTTCGTTCCGACAAGACCATGATTAATCGTTCTTCTTCTCTCGGCTGTGCTTTTAATAACGTTTAGTGTGGTCCATACGATATATAAACAATAAGAAAAATGTTCACCAGCAAACATTTTATGGAAGATAGCTCGTTAACGGAGCTAAAAGAATCACGGTTTCGATTGTAGATAGGAAACTGTTAAAAGTGTTCCTCGCTCGGCGTATATATGTATTGGCATACACGTGTAATAGGAATGTATATTATACCTATATCCTTTTTTCAAAAAGTTTCCTCGATAACTTTATTTTGAAATCCCTCATTTGATCGCGTATTATTTCATTTTTATAAGTTATATCTACTTGTGATTGCTAATACCGAATCGATTGAAGATCTTCGTGTGATTAATTTGTTATCTGCAAATAACATTGATGACGCTACTATATTTTGACTAAATAATTTGGAAAACGAGAAAGAAGCAACGCTTTCTAAACATTTTACGTCGCCTAGGGATAAATCCGTCAGCTCGAGTTTTCATTTATTTATCTTTCTGTTAAATTTTCAATTTTGTGATTGTAAAAACATCAGATCGGAAAAACATGCCACGAGCTATGATTTTACTACAAATCAATTTATTCATCGACTAACTTTGTTACAAGCATACGCGCATACACTGAAACTGTCCGCACGACAAAGTGCAAAAATGACGCAGTCATTTTGCATTATAATTAATGCAATTCTTATGCACATGCATTCAGTAGACTTATGCATGATGATGCAATACATATTTACGTATACGTATGTAATTCATGATATAGCATACATGTATCAAGAACTATTTTTTGCAGAAGCTGTATCAAGTGATTAGTAGGAAGAGATTCAAAGTTATAGTTAAACAATAAATAATGCAAGAATTAAACATGTCATCTGTGTGTAACTTTTTATCTCATAGAAATGCAAATACAATAATATTATTTGTCAAATATATGTGTATAGTATAATATTATTTACCAAAATTTTTAATCTACTGTAATGAGATAAAATATTACTGTGGAATATTATACAGAGTATTACGAAATTATTATTAAGAAAATTAATTAAATATGTTTAAGTTAATCTTACAATTTCTTGAAACTGTATTTACAGGTTAAATTAGTTTACTGCATAAACTACAATGTTACAAGTAAGGGAGAATTATTCAAATGTAAGTAATTCAATTAATTATTCAAATGTAATTGTCACGGGATGTACAGTACAAATGAAGGAGAGAATCGATTCGAATACGTGCGCAGCTACAAAAAAGCGTATCGTTTTTTTTTTTTTTTTTCAAGATAAAAATCAGACGAAACAAACGGTTGCGACACATTGTTTTTAAGAAAATTGGCACCAACTGAAATGCATCTGGCATTATATATAAAATATGTACGAGAACTCCGACTTACTTATCATGCACGGAAACCGACAATTTAAGAAATATGTTGTGCTCAAATGAATAGCCGCGAAGTTGATAGTTACTTTCAGGTATGCTCAATACTCGTGATTAAGGGAGAGAAAAAGAATGAAAATGTATGAAAATGAAACACAGGACACTGTATGTGATCTTACCGTGGTATTGTTGAAATAAAAGTCTGCTTCCTACTGAAGATTGTCCGCTATACTTTCAGATTCTTGGCAATTACAGATAACCAACAGGAGCATAAGATCACTTGTATAATAACGCACGTAACTTCGAATATTATAATTTTACATGTCCATCGTATTACACAGTTTTACCGAGAAATGTATGAGAAATTGCCGCGTTACACGCGCTTCGCAAGCGAACGCACACTACTTTGAGATCACGCGACGAGTACTAACCTCGCGTATCGCATTTTCGCGGGAGAACCGCGCGCGCGCGCGCGCAGATAACCCATGTTTCTATGTTGTCCTTTTCGTTCACGTGCACGTTGCACGCATGCACATTACGGCCACTATGCAATGATGAAACTATGCAACACGATAGGCAGTCACTGGTTCGTTGGTAAATTATTCTTTTCGCTATTCTGTCACCTTTTACTTTCCAATTGTTTCTGTTCCACTGTTTCGTTAGTCTACCGCTCTTTCCAGAGTCCCGTCTGACTATCTTTTCTCACCCTGTCCATTCGAATGATTCGTAATTCGAGCGAGGATCACAATCTCATTACGTTCGAGCCATGCACTCGTTTCAGAACCAATTCAGGTGACGGAAACATCCACGGTAAGTAACCAGCTCGCACATCCAGTTCTGCAAAAAACATAACAACGTACATCGAGTTTCCGCCAGAGCGTCGGCCACTCTTGCACACGCGCACTTCAATTGTCTCCTCTCATGCTTGTCTTTCCCGTGCCGCGGCGTCTCTATCCTCTTCCTACTTTTTATCTTCCCTCTCGCGCAACAAGAAGCGGCAATTCTCTCCGTTGGAAAACGTCACGTTGCACACGTTGACTTTTTTGTTTTGCGATATATTTCTGTCTTTACCATTAAAGCCGCATTCCGCCAGGAAGTTTTCCCTACTTCGTTTTTACGCGGATTCTTCTTCCTGCCCGAGAGAAGCCTTGTTTTCTAACGCTGTAGCAAAGGAATATTAGGAAACAACAGTTAGGGGACAATGTGAATAAGCGTGATGAACTATCGACTAACGTAGTTTCACAGAGTGAAGCACGGTCGGATGGATAGCAGTAGATGAATGCATAGGAAGGTATGTATACACCGGGATGGTGAAACGTGAAAGAACTGCGAGTGAAACGGATACGACACACTGCTGATACATCTGACGCGCACTTGCATACGGTTCATAACTCACTAAGAGTGCTGGTAGCAACGGCACGCCGACGAGGTGCACGGCGGCCTGCGGGCACCGGCTGGGAGGGGGCACGTCTCTGGCACGGGGAGGAGACACGTCAGGCACTCGGCTGTCAGGAGAGCGAGGGGTCTTTCGTCGAAGAGTGGTGGTTGGATGGATGGAGATGGTACACGAGTTTAGATGAACGTCAAGCTTTTACTATTGAATATCAGACTGATGCGTAAATTCTACCTACGTGCATACAATGTTGTCAATAGAGAAGCTCGTTCATGCGATGAGCTCGTTCATGCATTTCGAGTGTACCATTTATCACCAGTATGCGAATGATCTCGATGATCGATCAACTTGGTAACTTAACAAATGAATTTCCCCATCGTTATTTGTACAGCGAAAACTTCGAGAAGACATGGTACATATATAACGCGTATTAAATCAGACAGTCCTATAAGAGGAATAAATTATTGAATAATCTGTACTGTCACTAATAGATTCGTTGCCAACACACTTCATTAATGAGTGTAATGTAACTACCAATGGCGCGAAGTAATCTGTATATGCATATTCAGTTGGTAATATGCGTTCGTCGAGTATAATGGTCGCCTCGAGAGACGTAAAATTAATCAAACGCTGCGATAATGTAACTTTTAAAAATGCTGTATATGTATGTCAAAGGTGAAAATAGGTAAGTAAATAATAATATAAATCGCAAAGAGGTTATTTAAAATTCATTCGGCATTTAAAATTCGAAATGATAACATTCCTCTGGAAATGTCATTTTCTTAAATATTTGATATTCATTACTCCAATTATTCGATAATTAGATATTCATTTGTAAATATTGAATAAAATAGTTACAAATGATATATAAATTATGATTTTTGTAAAATTTTATTTCCGAAATTCTACAAATGATAAGAAATTCTCTTCGCAAGTTAAAAAAAAAAACTGTTTCCGTTTAAAAATATTTCTAGACATGTAACGAAAGAAGAAAAAACGTGGTAACATAATTAAGTATCACGTTTGTATAATGCATGTTATACTTTAATTTTATGTGAAGAGTCACACTATAGATAATATTTCTGTTTATATAAATAGTGTAGTATATATATATATATACGTGCAAATGCATGCATATTGCATATCTATTTGCAGTATTTCACATCTTGTATAAATCAAATAATGAATTTCCTTTTTAGCGTTCAAATCAGTTGATTGACACGATGTGCATTTTAACGACATAATTTATGCAACTTTAGGAAATTATATTAAGGCTACAAATCTAAAAACAGAATGTGCATGTGCATGTGCATTTGCAAATAAGCTGCAAGCTATAAAATAAATCTCTCCGTACAAAAATTATTATTTGCCATATGTATACGAGCTTTGTATTTAATAACCCTCTTTCCTTCATTTTACATAAACGATGCCTTGTATTCCTTGTCTTGGATGCAGGGGACCTTCTATAGTGTGTCCGGTTTATAGATAACTAAAGTGCTTATAGCAATCGTTCAATGTGAAATGAAATATTTTATACATCTTCCTCTCGGTTTATAGATCTTTAAGCAAATATTTCTCTACTTTCTACCATCAAAAAGAGATAAATATCTCTACAAGTTACATAAATCTGTATTCTTATTCTCTGAACCTGTATAATTAATACGCATATCCTTGTTAATACACGCACACATTTATACAAGATCCCTTAAGTCAATTTTATGGAAACTTGATTTTCTACAAATGCATTATTCAATATGAATTCGTGACGTGCAGAATTTTACTTTATACAATTATTTTAAATTATCAGAATATTATACGGATATTATTTCTTTTCGATTCTGAATCCATCACAATGTTTGTTAATTGTATGTATATACGAGATAGGAAAGCAAATGTTTATAAACTTTGATAAGGGAAAATATTGATCGTTGCAGAGATGGGTATCGAATTTAAATGAGTCAAAGGTTAAGAGTGGTAGTTGGAGTGAAACGACAGTCGTAAAAGTTCTCAGAGTCGATTCACCGGATGATAGCCAACGATAGATACACGAACTCCAGAAGTATTTTACTTACGGCTAAATTTACTGATTGATCCACTACAATTGTTGTCGTCACGGTAGAAACAGACTTTACGCATTCAATGACAAAAATCTTTACCCGGAATATCTACGTCGAATTATTCCCAAATAAATCATAATTCCCTTTTGAGTGACTGATTCGATTTGATTTGCACAATTATTTTCTCTAGATATATTTTCTATATTCACATTTTCATTTTAAAAGTAGAAAACATTTATTATCCAATAAATTATTTAATTACGTAGTTTTTGTATTACAAATTTATGTAACATAAATAGAAAATAAATAAATATCAGAGAGTTATTCGCGGTTATTAGTAAACATGTTGACCTTTATGCTGTGTAATGTGTGCAATTATAGAAAAGAAAATATTCTTTAATCTTCACCTCCTTTATGCGTTTTTTTTATTTCCTAGTATATGCGTATTCTTGTTGATCCTCACGGTAAAGGAGATAGAGAGATTAGATTAGTAAAAAATATTTAATTAAATTTTTCATAATGTGCAGTAACCGAAATATATACATGATAGAAATCTGTGGGATGTTTTCGAAGATAAAAATTAGATATGTACTTATTGCATATTTTTATGCTATTAATGAACAAAGTTAATGCCATTAATAAACAAAGTTATGAAATATGCAATATGCAATTAGGAGAAAATTGCATGAATTCTGTTGAAAGTATGTACATAAAAAGACATTAAAGTTTGCGTGAGACTAGACAATTCTATATTGATCTGGAGAGCCATACAAAAGGAGACGCTTATAAAAGTCTTTAGGTTTCTCCTTAAATAGAAAATTACACCGTATAGTGAAGATCCTGAAATTCGATCAAACTGATGCAATTATCTTTTATAATAATTTTTATTCTTTTCTCGCTGCTTTAATAATTACATTAGTTTGGCATAAAAGATATTATAGTCCGATTCGTAATTTCTTAACTAGAATTTAAATTTTCATAATTTATTTTTCACTGCCAAGAATTGGATTTGTAAAAGAAACGATTGCAATGTGTATAAAATATTTTTCATATAGATTCAATATTCATATATTCTCTGCGCTGGAGTCTTTCTTAGAATTTTGTACTGATCAAATTCTTGTAAAGGGATTACGGTCATCGTTAAATTTCACATTCCATTCCATTCCATATCTTTTGTGTTTGTTTCACTCATTTTTTTCTTTCTTTCACTTGTCTCCTCTGATTTTATACTTAACTGGTGTTTGACTTGAAAACGTTGCTTCCTATTCTTTCCTTTTTATTCATTTCTTTCGATTCTCACACGGTATTTGTCGGGATTTACATGTCTCCCTCATTTCAGTAATTTTATTTTATTGCCTTTTACATTTCTGTTACTCGAGAAGAACCAACATGTCCAGTATTATACATTATATGAGTTCACGTATGCGTATACATGTGCACGCAAAAACGTTTAAAAGGTGCGTTTTCGTACCAGTGCAATTTCGATTGATTTCAATTTTTCTTTTCGTATCCGCTTGAATTATATATGTAATTTACAGTAGATATATTTTTGCGGACGTATAAATTCTGCTGCTGCATGTATAAAAATAGAGCATAATAGTATAGTAGTAATATTTTTATTTTATATACATGCAATGTCTGATGCTTGAATCTGTATTTTATTTTTTAAAAAAGATTAATATTAATATTTTTCCCATGCACGATAAATAATTCACAGATCCTTCAGAACTTTCACTGCACAATTGCATATTTATCGCAGGCAAATTCTAAGTAGAACAATGCAGAGAGTTTGTTTTTATGTATCAATACTAATTTTCGACTTAGTCAGTCCCATATTTTAATTTGATGTTATCAGAAATATCGAATAGAAATACCATATCGTACGAAACTTTTTTTCTCACGTTTTCTTGGAATGAAACAATTCACATTCAGCGTATACACACATGTGAATATGTCGCACGTTGCATGTAACAAAATATGTCGTCATTCGATCAATTGTATTTTCCAGCGGAATGTACTCTTCTTCGACGCGATGTCTCGTCTCGTTTTATCTCCATAAACGACGTTTGGAGAGAAAAAAAGAAAGTGGACAGGTACGAGAGCATCAGTTGTTCGTGTGGGCAGCGTTTATTTTCTGCAGAATTTATACAAATCAGGGTCGAAGTCCTGTAGATTAACGTGGATTGGTTACGTACTAGAAATGCCATCCTACATGTACTCCTGTCAATACTAAATCGACTTTTAGACGATTGCTGGCACGCATTCGAATTATTGTTAATTCTAAGAACCTCCAGAATACTAACTAATCGAAAACGAGCAGCATGTTAAATATAGTCTATAGTTTCCAAATATGTTGTGTTTTCTTTCTTTCTTCTTGATTGAATAATTCGGTAATTTCTT